ACATCTTGTTCTAATCTTTTGGTGAGCTCATGTACACATTGCTGGTTTATACATAGCTAGACTGGAATTGCTGGGGATGGGTTCACATTCATTAGGCCACTTGCTACTTATGAGCTTTGTGAACCAAGGCAGGTTATGTAGCTTCTCTGAGACTCATTTTTCATATCTGTATATTGGAAATAAAAATAGTTGCCCCTCTTGTCACAGATTTTTAAAAAATAATTTTATTTATTAGAGAGCATAAGAGTGGGGAGGGACAGAGGGAAAAGGAGGAGAAGCAGGTGAAGCAGGCTCCCCACTGAGCAGGGAGCCTGACATGGGGCTTGATCCCAGGACCCTGGGATTATGAACTGAGCCTAAGGCAGATGCTTAACTGACTGAGCCACTCAGGTGCCTGTGTCATCACAGATTTTAATAAAATAATATCTACAAGGCACCTGGTCCTAATGTAGCTCCCCTTTCTTTCCTCCTTCCTCTGTCATCCCAGAGCCCCCTCTACCCTAGGCCACAGCTCTTCTACTAGGTTCCCCCTTTGCCAGGAGTCTTAAACATGAACCTGGAAAGCTTGCCTGCTGCCCACGGCTGGTAGGTGCTTTTCCCTGGCTATGATCTCTCTTTTGTGACTCAGCCACAGGTGTCCACCCAACACTAGCTTGCTGTGGTCAACATCACCACTAACAAATGTTTTTATGATGATCTTGGTGAGCATGTGGCTTGCAGTTGATGTTCTCCGGAGACTGGGCCAGGAGAGGCAAGGAATGAGGACTGAAGAGAGCGAACAGCTAGCTGAAATCCAGCCCAGGAATTTATAACATACTTCTTTCTTGCTTGGTTTTGCTTCCCTGATGTCCAGGCAGGAGTTTTTCTTTCTTAAAAGCCCTTGTTAAAAAAAAAAAAAAAAAAAGCCCTTGTATTCCTTATTTTTCCTGTAACACCTCAAGTCAGGCCACGTGGGTCAGTGGGCCAACTGGAAAACTTGCTTACGGGGGCTCTGTCAAGATAGAGTTTACTTCTTCTCTGTGTAATGGCAGCCTGGAGCATTGTGTTGGGAAAGTATCATCCAAGCTCAGGAAAGTGCTGTGATCGATTAGTTATGTCTGTTATATGCATGGGAGGTGATGATGGCAGCACACATTTCATGTGTTTACCTCTATCTTTGGCTTAAAGGTATTAGTTAGTATTGCTCAGAATAGACATGTATTTGGTTTAGAGAGGTAAGTGGAATGTTTTTTAATAGGTGGGTTAAGTGTGTTTTCATTTATATGACTAGTGACATATGTGGATTGATTTCTACCATTTTTTTTGTGTTATCACTGTTGTTTTCCCCTTTCTTTGTTGAATTCATAGTTTTCTGTAATCTGCTCTGTTTTCTCCTTTTGCCTGGTGTGAACCATAAAAAATATTTCTCTTATTTTAGAGGCTATTTAAAACTTTTTAATATGCATATTTGTTACTGTTTCTGTCCTTCTGAATGATGCTCTTTCCTGGCCTATTTTCATCGAGTTTTATCATTTTTTTTTTTATTTATGATAGGCACACAGTGAGAGAGAGAGAGGCAGAGACACAGGCAGAGGGAGAAGCAGGCTCCATGCACCAGGAGCCCGATGTGGGATTCGATCCCGGGTCTCCAGGATCGCGCCCTGGGCCAAAGGCAGGCGCCAAACCGCTGCGCCACCCAGGGATCCCGAGTTTTATCATTTTAAATGCAAAATTGATGATTTTCTTGGTCAGCTGACTTTGTGTAAATATTTGTAAATTCACTTACTCATCATTGTTTTTCTTACTCATTAAATTTTATTTTTGTTAAGTAATGCCACCTCCATTTCTGCTACTAGTAGGTAGCTTTAGTTGAGAGCTTCCTATGTGCTGGACACTGTCCTGATAATCCTACATGTGTTAAATCCCTTAATCTTCCACATTATCTTGGGAATTTGTTGTTCCTGCCTTGTGGATGAGGAAACAATCACATAAAGGTTAGGTTATGCCCAAGACCTAGCATTAGTAAAAGGTGGGGCTGGGCTTCAATCCTGGCTGTTGTTGCTCTTTGCGCGTGTTTAAATTTTTTGTTTTGAAATAATTTTAGATTTACAGAAAACTTGCAAAGATAATACAGAGTTCCCATATACCCTCTACCTGGATTTCCCTAATGTTAACATCTTACGAAAGCATGGTGCATTTACCAAACTAAGAAGTTTATACCAAAAAAAAAAAAAAGAAGAAAAAAAAAGTTTATACCAGTGCAATACTAGTAACTAACCAGAGACTTTATTTGGATTCACCAGTTTTTCCACTCTTTTTCTATTCCAGGACCCAATTTGGGGTCACACATTGTGTTTAGGATATATACATGTATTAAAAAAAAAACTTTTTGGCATGGAAGGTTTCAAGTTATATAAAAATGGAGAGAACAGGAAGATTTATCATTCAGCTTCAGTGATTAACTCATGACCAATTTGTTTCATTCATACCCTAAACCTTATTACTTTTTTCTTTGTCCTGGTCGCCTATAGTTTACAGATGTATGCCCTATAAATCACCTTATTTCACCTGCTTCCTATACAGCAGTTCTGTAGTTCATGGGCACTTTATTAATCATGGAGTTTCTAAAGCCAACACCTAGAACAACAACAACTACTACTACTACTACTACTACTACTACTCATAAGAAGAAATCTTTATTTCACACTGTGTAAAAAGAATTAAAGGACCCAGGGGTGGCAAAATTATGATTACTTAAAAATAATTTAGTTAACATTTCCTCCTGAAAAAGTTTCAAAAGACTTAAATAGTCTTTTGTTGTTTAAAAAAGTGTATTTTACTTTTTTTGCCAGATAATATAGTCACATATGTTCACACATAAGAGGTATTGAAGGGTTGCAAGCAACACTCTGTGGCAGATGACCAAAATTGTCTGACACAATATGAACTTGCTATAGCAAGAAGATCTAACCTATTCCAGTGTTTTCTCCTCCATGAGACCAATTGTTATATAGATTTAAAAAGTGTTCCAGCTCTTGGCTAAAGTGCAGTTGAGATTTGCGCTTGTTCAGGTTCTTGAGGGAGGGAAGAGTCAGTGCCAATAATCACAAACTGCCTGGCCTTCTGAGGCCGAAGCAGTGCCACTTCGTCCTAATCTTCAACAGTTAATCCTCTATTATTTTGGGACATTCCATTCTTAGCCTGAATTTCTTACCTATGAAATAGCAACAGAGGGGATCCCTGGGTGGCTCAGCAGTTTGGCGCCTGCCTTTGGCCCAGGGCACGATCCTGGAGTCCTGGGATCGGGTCCCACGTCGGGCTCCCAGTATGGAGCCTGCTTCTCCCTCCTCCTGTGTCTCTGCCTCTTTCTCTCTCTCTCTCTGTATCTATCATAAATAAAAATAAATAAATCTTTTTTAAAAATTTATTTATTTATGATAGTCACACACAGAGAGAGAGAGAGGCAGAGACATAGAGGGAGAAGCAGGCTCCATGCAGGGAGCCCGACGTGGGATTCGATCCCGAGTCTCCAGGATCACGCCCTGGGCCAAAGGCAGGCGCTAAACCGCTGCGCCACCCAGGAACCCCAAAATAAATAAATCTTAAAAAAAAAAAAAAAAGAAATAGCAACAGATCAATTTGGCCTGTGAATCCTCTTAGAATTGCAGGTAGCGGGTAGCCCTGGTGGCTCAGTGGTTTAGCGCTGCCTTCAGCCCAGGGCGTGATCCTGGAGACCCCGGGTTGAGTCCCACGTTGGGTTCCTTGCATAGAGCCTGCTTCTCCTTCTGCCTGTCTCTGTCCCTCTTTCTCTCTCTCTGTGTGTGTCTCTAATGAATAAATTTAAAAAAAATTACAGGTAGCATTGTGTTGGTGTGTGGTTTTCTGAGGAGAAGGTTTCAAAGCAAAGGGGGGAGGGTTTTTGATGTTTATGAGACACAGTGAAGTGTAAAATAAACCATAGAATTAAACTTTTACTTCTTTGTCTCCCTATAGAAAAAATAAAAAAGTACTAAAGGGTCTATAGTAAAGTCACTCCCTTCTGACTTTTTGTCACATAGTTCTCTTCCCTTTGGAGAGCTGATAAGTTTCTAGGGAAGAGACCAGCCAGCTTTTTCTGTAAAACATCAGATAGGAGACACTGTAGGCTTTGTGGACAGACCCTTGTTCTAGTGTGTCCTTGAAATTTTATGCAAATATAAGCACATATATATTACACATTTTCTCCCACAACTTTGCAAAAATGATAGCATAGTATACAGAGTATTCCTCTCTTGGCTTTTCTCTGTTAAACCAGATGTTGGCGAACTATGGCCCATAGGCCAAATCCAGCCTGTTACCAGTTTCTGTAAATAGTTACATTAGAACCTGCATTCATTTGTTCACTTACTGTCTGTGGCTGCTTCCATGCCACCAAGGCAGAGCTGAAGAGTTTTGGCAGAGAACATTTGGCTTGTGAAGCCTAAAATGTTTACTCTCTGGCCCTTTAGAGAAAAAGTTTCTGGTGTCTGAGTTAAACACTATGTTTTAGCCCTTCAAACTAGTACAGAAAGAGCTTCCTCACGCTTTCTCATTGTGACGTTCTATGTCTTTGTATGGCTGCACCATCATTAATTTAATGAGACCCTCCCCTAAGGGATATTTAGACCATTTCTGACTGGCCTTTACTGGTATGAAGAACGTGGCAATGAATAGCCTTGTACTTACCTCATTTTCCGCAAGTGTGAATATATTCCCAGGATGAATTTCCTAGAAGTGGAACTGCTGCATATTACAGAGTACACTGGTGATTTTTACAGCTAATGTCAGATTGCCCTCCACAGAGCTTTATCAACTTACATTCTCACCAGTGTTATAAAAGTGCCTATTTGCCTCATCTTTGCCAGCAGAATGTCCTGCCAGCCTTTAGATCTTTACCAACTGCTATGTGAAAAAAAAAAAAAAAAAAAGGTATCACAAAGGTATCACAGGGTGGTTCACTTTGCATGCTTTTATTCTGGTGAGTTGCATCTTCTTTCAGGTACTTAAGAGGTGAGTGGCTCCTTTTTGCTGCTGGTGGTTTGCTCTCTTGGTCTGAGGGTCTTCTGGGGGGTGGTTAGGGAAGGGGGGTGGGCCTCTCTCTCTGACTGTCTTGTATCGCTTTCACAAACAAGCTTTTGGGGAACAAAAGTCTTAAGGATAAACATGGGATGGCAATTAGTACCATCAAGATTCCAGACGTCAGAACTGGGGAGCCAGGGGGGCCCTGGAGAGGCATTTCCATTCTGCTCTGAATTTGGAAGGCTAGCTTTCATGGGGTGCAAGCTGTCCTCTTCCTCCATTGTACTTCTGTTGACACAGGCAGCCTCATGCTCCTCCAGGTTTTTGATGGGGACCACGTGGCAGGCGTTGTATTTGCAACTGGCCATCTTTTTGGCTTTCTTGGGGTTCTTTCTCCTGCAGGATGCCAGGTGGTACTGAAATCTGCTGAGCGGGACTCGATGGTGAGGGTTGTAAGGGCAAATTTCTAAGGCTTCTGGCTCCATGAGAAATTGTTCTTGAAGCAGAGTGGCTCACTTCCCAGAGTCAAAAAAAAAATGCCCCTGGTGGAATAACCCTTTGGTAAGGAGGCTGGAGTGTCCTCTGCCCAGAATTGGCCCTTTGAACTCTGTTGACCAAGGTCTTAACAGCTCATGTTTCTTGTGCTCTGCGGCTGCGAGTGCTGGGTTAGGAAAAGGACAGGAGCTGTCAGGGGCAGCTGCACAGAGAGCTGAATTACAAATGGCAGGCGAGACAGAAGAACCATATAAAGCACATGCAAGAGCCAGAAAACCACAGCTGCCCCACAGGAAGGTGAAGAAGGTACATGCCAGCCCCCCTTGACTCTGAGAGCTACACTGTGTGATGTCAAAGAGGAGTCATGAAAGGTCACAATGGGCAGCTTGAGTCATCAGCAAAAGTCTATGTGTTGTCCATCACTTTCAAGGGGCGAGGTGGCTTTGGGGAAAGCTGCCATTCAAAATTGTTGCGGGCATATCTGTTGTCATTTGACTGTTTCTAAACTTATATATTTAATATAATTCCCTATGTATTTGGGGTTAAATCTACTGTATTATTTCATGCTTCCTATCTATTCTTTGGTTTATTTTTTCTCTTTTCTTACCTAATTTTAAATAGTTTAGAAAAAATATTTCCATTTCCCCCATGATTTTGTAAGTAACACATTCTCTAATCATTTAGTGGTTACTCTACAAATTAAAACATTCATAAATAGCTTACCAAGTTTTAAAGTTCATAAAAGTTTCATCCATTTTCCAGGTAATACAGGACTTTTTCTACATTTACTTCCCTCCCTTAATGTTATTATTTTAAGCCTAATTTTTAAAAGTTCCTAAGACAGCATTGTTATCGTCATTTGACATGGCCCAAGTTATGGATACCTGTCCTTGTGCTGACTCCTCTGCTACTTGTGTCTCATATCTACCACATGGCATTGCTTTGTTTCTACTAGAAATTTGCCTTTTAGAATGTTCTCATGACAAACTTTTGGTTTTGTTTATCTGAAAATGTCTTTATCTCATCCTCATTCTTGAAGGATGACTTCAGGGAGTATAGTTGTGCTATTTTCTTTCTCCCCACTGAAGCAGAGTTCAGTTTCTTCCAGCTCCCACTCTGGTTGAGAATTCAGGATTCCATTATCTGACTCTTTTCTTTTTTTAAGATTTTATTTATTTATTTGACGGGCGGGAGAGCACACAGCATCCAGAGGGAGAGGGAGAAGCAGGCTCCCCACTGAGCAAGGAGCCCAATGTGGGGCTCGATCCCAGGACCCCAAGATCATGACCTAAGTTGAAGGAGGGTGCTTAAATCGACAGAGCCACCTAGGCACCCCTACCTAACTTCTCTTCAGGGTAATCTGTTTCTTTTCATATGTCTGTCTGTCTGTATGTATGTATTTATTTAATTTTATTTATTCATGAGAGACGGAGAGAGAGAGAGAGAGAGAGAGAGAGAGAGAGAGAGGCAGAGACACAGGCAGAGGGAGAAGCAGGCTCCATGCAGGGAGCCTGATGTGGGACTCGATCCTGGGTCTCCAGGATCACACCCTGGGCTGAAGGCAGTGCTAAACCACTGAGCCACCGGGGCTGCCCCTCATATGTCTGTTTTAAAGAACTTTTCTTTTTTTTTAATTTTTATTTATTTATGATAGTCACACACACACAGAGAGAGAGAGGCAGAGACATAGGCAGAGGGAGAAGCAGGCTCCATGCACCGGGAGCCCGATGTGGGACTCAATCCCGGGTCTCCAGGATCGCGCCCTGGGCCAAAGGCAGCCACTAAACCGCTGTGCCACCCAGGGATCCCTAAAGAACTTTTCTTTATCTTTGTTTTTCTGCAGTTTCAATATGATGTTGACACGTGGGTCTCTGTTTATTCTTTGTTTTTTTAGACCTCTGGAATCTGTGGATTAGTGTCTTTCATTAGTTTTGGAAAATGTTCAACTGTTGTCTCTTCAAATGCTGCTTCTACCTTATTCTCATACTTTCACTGAAATGATAGATGTCACTTCCACTGACATTTCATTGTCTAAAGTGAGTCTCACACATAAGGTGCGGGGTCAGAGAGGCACATAGGACTATCAGGTATCCACAGGAGGAGGATAGGAACTTTGCCATGAGTCCTCATGACATGAGCCATGTACCTGGCTGGCTTAGTTGGTGGAGTGTGGGACTCTTGATTTTGGGGTTGTGGTTTTCAAACCCCATGTTGGGTGTACAGATTACTTGAAATCTTAAAAAAACAAAAACAAAAATAAAAGAAGGAATCCTAAGAACATCCTGTCTCTCCTTGTCACCGGTATTTGTTTCCCTTTTCTCCAACATATAGAACATACCCCCTTCTCAAGGGAGAAAACCCAAAGTCCTAGCTTAGAGTGAGGAGATAAACAACTTGGTGAGTGCTCAATGGGGGCTTCTTGCATTCTGGCAGGAACTTATTCTAGGATGGTGGGCATTCTAGTGCCTCCAAACAACCTGTTGCTGTGAGAAATGAGGGGCTCATAGAATCATGCCCACTGTACCCGCACTGCTCCCTCCCCCGCACACCCTGCCAGGGATATCTCTTGGTATACTTTGATGAGAAACTATCCTTGGTAAATTGTAACTTCCATACCATTTATGGAACAGAATGCCCATTTTCTCCAAGCCTATAGCCCAGTATTAGAGGAGGTATGACATTGGCCCTGTTGGGAGTTAACAGGTTGTTTGGCATCTGCTCTTCCATGACCTCAAAATCTTGGCACAGTGTTTGTGGGCAATGCTGACAGCACTTTTTCAATTTCTAGTTCCATAGCCTTTTTCATGCTCATAACCATGGCTGATCCAGGCACCGGGTAATTCAGGCATGTGTAAGTGTGTAAATGGAGATGATGAAGAAAGCACTTCACCTGTCATTGAAATCCACATAATAAGAAATGGAGCTTTAGCTCTTACAGGCTTCTTTGTGGCCAAGCACCCATTAGCACAGCAGGCCAACATTTAGTCCATTATATAGAGAGGAAGGCCAGGCTTGATAATGCTTCTAATGGACGTTTTGAATGGTCCTCAAGCCTGCAGCTTTCTGCTAGCTTCTGCTCTGAGCCTGGGACCTGACAAGTTGCTCACCATGGCAACTTGAGAGGAGCAAGGGATACAGACACACCTATCTGAGTGGCACTTCCCGGCCTGTCTGCACCTACCTGACAGATAATGCAAGTGAGGTCAGATTCTGCTCATTCCCCTTCTGCACATATCATCTTGAGAGGTGCTGCCAACAGATGGTAATGCAGGCATGGAGAAGGTCACAGAGCATTCAGGAGCAAAGTTTTCTAAAAATGAACAATTGTGTATCTTGGCCAGCCAAGTCAGCAGTTGTTATTATGGGGTGGGATAGAGCCATTAGAAGATTAGAATCAGGGGATCCCTGGGTGGCGCAGCGGTTTGGTGCCTGCCTTTGGCCCAGGGCGTGATCCTGGAGACCGGGGATCGAATCCCACGTCAGGCTCCCGGTGCATGGAGCCTGCTTCTCCCTCTGCCTGTGTCTCTGCCTCTCTCTCTCTCTCTCTCTCTCTCTCTCTGTGACTATCATAAAATAAAATAAAAAATAAAATAAAAAAATAAAATAAAAAGAAGATTAGAATCACAAAGTTGGAGACATATCTGACATCAAGACTGGCTTCTCTCTCAGGGCTGGCATCCCTTCTGGAACATCCCTGGAGGTTGGTCATATGGTGACAGGGAGCTTCCTACTCCCTACAGAGTTCTGCTATAGATTTCTTACACTGAGCTGAACTGACCTGTTTCCTCATACCCCTCAGCCCTCAGTGTGACCTCTGTGTCCTCTGCTCTGGGAACATCCTCCAGGATGTAGGGATATCCCAAATATGGCAAACTCATGTCATGTATGTGGTCCTGGGGTGGGTGGTCTGCTCTATTTCTGGCTCCCAGTGTCTCCCCACACGTCTAGCAGATAAATGTGGACAGCCTAGGTAGCCCCTCTGAATGCTTGAGCTCTGTTTTCCTGCCTTCTGTGGGCTGCTCCTTGCTCAAGTGGTATGGTCCTCATACCTCATGTGGTATGGTGCTGCTCAAACTATAACATGCATATGAATCACCTGAGACCTTGTTAAGATGCTAGGCTGAAGTTTTGGTTTTGTCTGTGAGGTTTATGTGACATGGTTGTGCTAGATTTGTAAGATGAGTTAGAGCACATTTCTGGGTAAACAGCCTAGGAACATTTTTGGAAAGTTTGAAGAAACTTGTCTACTAAATGCTCTGACTCATACCCTTTTGGGACATAGTTCTATGTCTCTGTTCAACTTGGTTCCTTAGTTTTCTACTTCTCTTGACATTTGTCATTTTTTAAGAAAAGCATACTGTTATGGATTGAATTGTGTCCCTCTCCCCATTCATATGTGGAAGCCGTAACTTCAATGTAATGATATTTGGCGGTGCCTTTAGGGAAGTAATTAAAGTTAAATGAAATTGTAAGAATAGGGCCCTCATCCAATAGGACTAGTGTCCTTATAAGAGGACAATGAGGGCAGCCCAGGTGGCTCAGCGGTTTAGCGCTACTTTAGCCCAGGGCGCGATCCTGGAGACCAGGGATCGAGTCCCACATTGGGCTCCCTGCGTGGAGCCTGTTTCTCCCTCTGCCTGTGTCTCTGCCTCTCTGTCTCTCATGAGTAAATAAATAAAATCTTTAAAAAAAAAAAAAAAGAGGAGAATGAGACCCCAGAGGTATCTCTCCACAGGAGCAGAGGAGAGGTCATGTGAGGACACAGCAAGGAAGTGGCCATCTGCAAGCCAGGAAGAAAGGTCCCACCAGAAACCAGCCCCAGCAGCACTTTGATCTTGAACATCCAGCCTCCAGAATTGTGAGAAAGTGAACTTTTGTAGTTTAAGTCACCCAATATTTGGTATTTTGTCATACAGTACGAGCAAACTGATGTACATGTGCTCCCCATTGAACATTCCAGGTAAACTAACATACTATGTATATTTAGTAT